GATACTGTCGGTGTATGATGTGTCAGTCAGCAGGTGTGATCCTGCAGGTGTATGATGTGTCAGACAGCAGGTGTGATCCTGCAGGTGTATGATGTGTCAGACAGCAGGTGTGATCCTGCCGGTGTGCAATGTGTCAGACAGCAGGTATGATCCTGCAGGTGTATGATGTGTCAGACAGCAGGTGTGATCCTGCCGGTGTATGATGTGTCAGACAGCAGGTGTGATCCTGCAGGTGTATGATGTGTCAGACAGCAGGTGTGATCCTGCAGGTGTATGATGTGTCAAACAGCAGGTATGATCCTGCCGGTGTATGAAGTGTCAGACAGCAGGTGTGATCCTGCAGGTGTGAGATGTGTCAGACAGCAGGTTCCCATCTCATCAGGCAAAACACCAAAACAAATATGGGTGAATTAAAGCTGCTTCCACACTGGTCACTCATCCTGCTTTCTTGCAGATTGTAGCCTTAAAGTTAAGCCGAATCAATGAACGCCGACTTAGTCATACATACACTGTGACTTATTGCATTCTGATGAGTTTGTTAAACTGAATTCCATTATGGAGTCCTCAATATAGTGTTAAACTTTGTGCAACAAAACCAATATGACCTGATGAAAAAGAAGGATGAAGGTCTCGCAAAATGTTATTGTGGTTGAGTAAAAATGTTTTTAGCTAATACAAACGTAATGTTCTAGCAAAAATCATTTGCACATTTCAGATAGATTTTGTATAGATCAGAATATGGTTATAGCATAGATGGATATTTTGTATTGATGTGTGTGTACTTAAACACTGCAGTGATTTCTGTATTAGACGATAGCCAGTACAATTAACACCCATCGACATCTGGATTGTTATTAAAGGACTTCAGAGTTCTGTGGTTGGCTTTGCATAGATCTGCAGGCATTAATTGTGCAGTTAGTTTTGTATCAATAGCAGAGCCAGAAATCACAGCGTGGGGGGGGGAGGGCAGAAAATCAGGTGGGTCAGTCCCATAACGATTCACTTGGCGTCAAAATCACAGAACAGACGCCACTGCATTTTATTTTATCAGTTTTTAAATGACCCGCATTACTAAGACCAAACGAACAGAGGGAAAGAAAAATCTATTTGCCTTTCAACAGCACTTTTCCTCCGATTGATCTAACCAAGCACACACATGCCTGTCAGACACAATCATATCGTTCTGCTCTGTACTGTATTACTCGCTTTGAACGCTGACTGGGTGGGCCTGAGTTTCAGCTGCACTGTCCAGGTCCACCCAGGGCCCCCGAGGGCCCCCGAGGGCCACCAATGGCTACCCGTGGGGCTGCAGCAGTTTTATATAGAGCTGCAGGTGGCTGAAGTGTAGTTGCCTTCGATCTACAGGTACTTACAGTGTAATTGGCACACAGAGGGTTGAAGGCGTTTGTCCCACAGATGAACAGACCACCTGGCCGGCTCAATAAGACCTTTATAAAATTCCGACACTCATCCTAAAACAAGAGATAAGAGATTAAAAATGGTTAATAATAAGCAAGAAGACACAAAGTGGACAAAAGGAAGACAGACAGAATGCTTGCTACCTTTGTAGTCCCTGACATTTTTATTACAGCGTGAAATTACAGAAGACTGGAGAGACTGAATGTTGCTCCATCCAAATGAGATGACGTGGCCACCCCCCCCCCCCCCATTTCCCACACACAGACCCTTCAGGGGTCTCATTTTTCTCAGAATGACAGCAGGGGCCAACAGTGTGGTGGGCAAGAGTGAGAGAAATTACCATCCCCATTCCTGCCTGTTTATTTGTCTGTGCGTGTGTGTGTGTGTGTGTGCGCCTCCCGCTGCCTGCTGTTTGCACATTCATTACAGAGACCCCCAGTTTGTTTTTGCTGTGCCACACACGGGGTCAGCGGTGCCAAGTATCGACGGGTGAGTCACGGTCCAAAAATTTCTGCAAAGTTTGTGCGTGACGCTGACTGGGGGTGTTCGCTGCTCTGCTCTCTAATGGCTTTGGGCTGATCCTTGTGCACACGGACGACCTGTTCGAAGTATGAAATACTGAACACCAGGAGTCTCCAAACTCCGAACTCCTGAATCGCTTTTCTCTCAAGTCCGGATCCCCCACTCCATCGTCTCTATACCGCCAGTCCGCGAGGGTTTTTGTCTCTGCACGTGTTGCCTGCCTATCTGTCCGTACTAAAGCCAGACCCCTGCAGTCCCATCCAGCTCCCTTGTCTCTGTCAGCCTGCCCCGCCTCTCCCACCAACGCCCCCCCAGCCCCTGGGCACTGGCCCGGCACAGCGCCACCTGTGTCCCTTGGCAGAGATGCATCCACATGAGCCCCCAGAAAACAAAACTAAACCAAGATTCTGGGACAGAACCTGTATGTCTGCGTCTTTAGTTCTCATTAGTTTTTTTTTGTTAACGTAAATTTGCATATATTCTAATGATAAATTGTGTGTGTGTGTTTCTGAGCAAATATAGACACACTGCTCAGATGAATAGCTTTAAGCATTTTCTTTGACTGCCGTAGACTTTATGGTATAAGACAGCACATTATGGTATAACACAGCACATTGCGGTATAAGGTGTGTATTACACCCCTGAATGGTCACCTGACCAGGCAAGGAAGGGGGCGAAGAAAGACATGCAAAAACAGATGGAGGAGCACGGAGGAGTGGAGACAGTAAAATGAGGACAGACAGAAAGAGGGAAGGAACAAGAATGAAGAGGTCCAGTCCAGCCCAGTCCCAGTGCAGCTTCCTGACTGGAAATAGCCCATATGGGTGAACTCGTGGGCTGTTTAAAAATATGCGAGTGTCTGTTTTTCCTCAATAAACTGTTTTCCCAGTTAATAACAATGATGAAATGCAGCTTCTCTATGACATCAGCACCCTGTAAAAGAATGTAGCTGGTACTAAAATAAACAGAAAGTCACTCTCTGATCACATTAACCATTGGTATGTAGAGAAGATTACCCACAATGCCCCTGGTTGGGGGGGGGGGCGCGAGGTTTCTCCACGCCGTGCACCTCATGTAAACTCTCAGTACGGGGTCAAAGTCATCCAGCTGCCAAACTGCAACAGGCGCATTTCCTCTGCGCCGGAGCGCGCCGATGGTCCACATGCGGCCAAGCAGCCGCGCTGACCTTGATCAGCGAGGACAGGCAGCTGACGCCAGACGCTGGAAGGCGGTCAGGTGGTGGTGACCACAAAAGCTCCGGCCTCCAGTCTCCCAGGTAAAAAGCCGCGCTCTTACAAGCACTGCTCACCCCGCATTTAACATCACCGCAGGCTTTGTGGAGGCCAATACGGCCAAGGCCCCGCCATACAGGAACAGGAACACAGAAAGCAGAACACAGACACTGACAAAGGGCCGTGTTACTTTTCTGCTATTTTCCTGCAAGTCAGATTGGCATCCTGTAGAGTGTGAAAACAGATTTTAATAATCTGCACCTAATTTTACATCTGATTACCTAGAAACAAGCCAGCCCTGAAGCTGAGGAACGAAACGAAAGGCAGAGGCTAGAACAGAGGCGGGATATTTCCGGACTGCAATTTTTTCTCTCTTAAAAGGGACACACAGCACCAGGTATTACCTGCCGAGCCAGACTGAAACATTTGCGGTGACAAGGTTTTAAATGAGCGAGCAGTTAGGCCGGATTAAATTTCCCTGGAACGCGTCCGCGTCCGGGCTGAACACAGGAGGGGGCAGAGGCCTCGGAACCAAGCAGAACTGACCCAGTACATTTGCATTCAACCAAACGGTATCCCCTGGTGCTACCGGCGCATGGGGGCGGGGAGGGACAGCGGGAACAGGGCCGGAAAATCACGTTTCTCACTCCATTATGAGGATATGTCCATTGTGATCAGCCAACCAGAAACATTTAATTACGAAACCAATTACCCTGACAGCTAATAACTCACACCTGACAAAATCATTTCTGGGGCAAAATGGAGTCCAGAGGGATGGAGATCAGTAACGGTGGGTGTGCATGTGCACAGGGGTATAGAAATATCACGGCGCAGGCATGTCGGCGAGCTACTCCTGCCACACACTCAGATCGCTGCCTGACCACCACGGTGAAATGTCATTAGCGATGGACTTGAACCACAGGCCATTCTAGACCCCATGTTGGGGACTTCAGCCACCGTATTTTTTGTCTCAGCACCCATTAAAATTAATATTCTAAATCCATTTGGCAATTTCATCCCATATTTCTTGCTGGCTGAAGCCCCCCCCCCAACCCCCAAGGGACAAATCCTAGAATCTCCCGAGTTGAACATCCATTTGACACGATTCCGGTGATTTCCTGAATTCACTGAATTCCCATGGCCCTTTCCCCGTCTGCACCCCAGAGCCTTTGTCCCATGTACTGGGTGGGACGGGTCATTTTTAGGGGTGTCACTGGTTTGTGTTCATAGACACCCATTGATAAGACGCGGTGTTTCAGAGCAGAGAGACAGCTCAGGAGGTGTGTGAAGCGGCAAGCCGGGCTGCATGCCTCTACGGACAGAGGTCCTTGTTATATTTACGTGTATTTACGCATGACCTTTGACCTTTGGCCCTTGATAGCTCCAGCTCTCACCTCGTGCTTGCCTTTCATCCTGCAGATTCGGATGTCGTTCTTGTTGGACTCCCATGTTCGCCTCTGGGCAGAAAAATGACACGCAGACGATTAAACCTCAGCGGCGGGGAGAATTCACGCATGTCCGTGTGTCGGGGGGGTGGAATGGGGGTGGGGTGGGCAATGTGGCAGGCAGAACTCACCTTGCTGTAGAACATCTCGTCTCCAGCGACGTTGTCCAGCTCCACGCGGAACAGGTCATCCCTGTCGGGCAGGTTGTAGCGTTAACCATACGGAAAAACCCAGCGGGGCCGCGGGAGCCGGACCGCGGGAGCCAGACCGCTGAACCGTGCTGTGCCCGGCGCCGGCCGCCATCGCTTAGTCCGAGGCGAGAACCCACGTACCGTGTCACCGTTAAACAGCTGCTCTGTTTGCGATGCGCCCCCCGTGGGCCATTAGCAGTCGCACGATTTATGGGGCCATTTTTTCTTTCCCCGCGATGTCAGGCAAGCCGTGCGTGTCTGTTTCCAGCTCACATTAATTACGGGTGCCGACGTGTGGGAATGCGAGAAGGGCGTGATGTCGGGGCACGGGTCACATGCCAGAGCCTCCTGGTTTTACCCATGAGGATGATGGAATCAACCAATCACAGACCTCCAGCCCCTTCTAAGCTCCCTTCCTATTGGTTAAAGCCTCCGTAACACAACCAGAGTGCTTATACCTTTCCATGGTCTCCAGATTACTTAAAAGGATCCGCCAGGTACTGATCTGAAGAATTCTGAGGGAGGATAATCACACAGGAAATCGGTTTCTGGGAGTCGTGGCCCCCGCCACTTCAACACTGTCCTGTATTAGCATATGAAAATAATTTCCACTGACTTGCTCCCATCTCGCTATGTCTCACCACTCCTAGCAAACACAAGGCCTATAAAAACCATGGACTATTCATGACTAACACTGTGCATTTTATATTGACATATTAAAAGCAGAATTACAGCTCCTTTGGTGTTAAAAATGTTCCAGCAGGTCCTCCACTTCCCATGAGCACCTGGGCTGATGGCTAATGACCCATGTGTCTTCAGTGCCAGACATCCAGCCTGCAACACGGAGCTGGTATTGGCTGGTGCAGAGTCTGTGGCTCAGACATATGTCTGACTGGTCTTCTGCCCCGTCTGTATGTCTGCAGGTGGTGCAGCGCGTGTCTGAGGCTAGTTCAGGGTCTGTGGCTGGTCTGTGAGGCGTGTCCGTGTGTCTGTGACCGGCGGCCTCTCCTGCATGCTATTCTGCGGCTGCGAAAGGATCTATATGTCTGTGACTAGCATCCTGTCGATGTGGCTTTGGCTGGAACAGTGTCCGCAGCCAAGACAGTATTCCTGTATCTGTGGCTGGCATGCAGTCTCTGTCTACAGATGGTAAACTCAGTGTCTGGCCGGTTCAGGGTTTGTGTGTTTACAGCCGACAGAGTCCCTGTACGTCAACAGTCGGCGCAGTGTCTGTGTGTGGGTGTGACGGCCGGGACGGCCTGTAGAGGGCGATCTGAGGGCCTCCAGCCTACGTCGCTCCTCTCGCCACCGTGTGCTACAGCCGTCGTTTAAGTCATCATTTCCTAGCCTGCTTCCTTTGAGTTACAGAACCTTGCTTTCCCTTGGTCTTGTGCTTTACTGTAGCCTTAAAAAAGGTATATTACTCTTGCTGTTATTAATAATAACGTTATATAATAATTTTAATTAATCCATCCATCGTCCAACAGCTTATCCTAGACACTAGTGACATGGCTGCCCTGTGCTCCGCCATCCTTACCCACGTTCTCGGTACAGGATCACGGCGTGCCTGGATCGCATCCCGGGAAACACAGACTCCAAGGTAGGGATACATCATGGGCCGGATGCCCGTCCAACACAGGGCACACACACAAAGTCAGTACGGACGGCTCGGAGATGCCAAATAGCCCGCATGTTCTTGGACTGCAATTGTAGAGCCATGTAACATGCGGAGAACATGCAAAATCCACACACACGCAAAAACACAAACACACACGGGATTCAACTCCCCAACCGATACCCCCTGAGCCGTCATACCGCTCAGATTCAGTTAAATGATATATTTACTCAAAATGTTTTTCAGATATGTTTCTGCACAGTGGGTTACAGCTTTACATGTGTACCCATTACGGTAAGAGTTTGTGCAGGATAATTGCTTCGCCTAAAGGTACAACAGCAAGCAACTTCTTGGAATTTGGAACATTTATTTATGGGTTCTAGTTCCTTCAGCTCAATGATCTGTCCCTCCTGCCGCTTTCTGGGGTAGGTTCCAGGGTTGGGCGTAGCCCCTGTCCCCGGGTGATAGCCCTCCACAGTGAGAGTGTGACTGACAGCAACCTTTCGCATCGCATCCTCGGTCGTGGTCAACTAGAAACATCTGCGAGGTCATAAACAATGCGTGACTTTAATAAGATTTTGTTAAATAACGGCCATACCGGTTTAGGAATTTCATTACTGGGCCATCAAGCATAGTGGCGGGACACCCTACCGTTATCGCTGACGTATTTAATACTGGGCCTGATTTCTGACTCCGCCAAGGCCAAAGACCTGGTCATTTCCTGGTGTAAAGCATACTGCTTCCCCTCCCTACTCCCCAGTAATGACATCCACATGCAAGTTCTCTCCGAAGTTATGAGGCCATTTAACTCCTTAGCTCTTGGGGTCCATTGGCTTAATGGGAAGCATATTTTTTGGCAGTTAAAGGGTTCTTATTTGTAACACAATACCTAATTTTGGAGAGCTTCAGCGTCATCTGGAGTGCTATGCTAATTTCGTGCTTGACATTGTGGAGGTAATACAGATCCTGTTAAGGGTTCAGGTTTATGTGACAATGGTATGTCTGTCATGTGACACCTTTGGGGGGGGGGGGTTGGCTCTAGCGTAGTGGCTGCTGCTGGTTACCTGGCTCCGATGTAGAGGGTCCGGTTCACCTTGAGGATCCTCTGTATGTGCAGCCGCTCATGTCTCGTTGACGATCGATGAGCACGACCCAGGAACACGGGATACCGACGGACCACTGTAAAGAGAGGGTGTTTTTTTTTTTTTGGGTGAGGGGGTGAGGGGTTAAGAAATGGTTGAGAGAACAGAGGACAGTCAGATTGGAGGTGAGGGGCATGCTGAGAACACAGCAATATATCAGCAAACTCGTGCAGCCAAGGGGCAAAATGGAAATCGGCTCGTTGCCCTTGACGGAAGACAGCGAAAGAACATGGCTCCGCGGCCCCTCCCTCCCTCCTCCCCCCTCTTCAAGGCTGCTTAGCACACAGGCCCCCGCCACTCGAGTCACATGGCGTTCAGCGGACAGAGCCTAGAACCCAGAACAGGGGGCGCGGCCGGGAAAACATTGGCAACAGAGCGCACATGTTCTGCGGAGCGTATGGTTTTCCCAGCCAGACCGAGCCTCAGAGTCTGGAGAATGACCCGCCGGGGCAGGAGCTAAGAGGACCTGAGAGAGGCCGCTGTTTACGCCGCCACACCATGAGACTAAACATGCACATGCACATTAGGGAAATATTCATCATTTTCCCAGACTTCTGCAGCACATCAGTCACTCCCCAAAGTTCACGTCAAACTCTGCTAACCCTGACCCACAGCTACGTAGTCTGGACCTCTATTCGTGACCCCTTCCCGGGAGGAGGAGCCGCAAGGAGGCTATTGGGTGACATCGACACTCCCTGATATCTGATTGGCCACTGGATGAGGAATTAAAAAAAAATAAATGACATGGCACCGAGTGCCTTGGATACGGAGTTCATTAGGCTGTTCAATAGCCAACACGGAAACCACAGAACACTCTGGTTCCAGACCACATAGTAACGAAAGAGTGTCGTGTGTCGTGTCTATTGGAAAAATAAAACAAAATTAAGAGGTTGTAAGAGTCAGATTTATTTTAGTGAAAGATCATAAGAAATTAGTGGAATATATTTCTCTGGATAAACAACAACACATTACAGCCACAATTATTGTCTAATTTAGGAAAATGTGACTTTTTATTTGTGTATAATAGAAGTCAGAGACAGTCATCATTATTATTCTTTGCATGGCCCCCAAAATATTACTGCCCCCTCCCCCCCCCCACACACACATACTTTCCAGAAAATACTCTGGGGTGGCTCGGGGCCCATCGTCCATCCAATCATAAGCTTGGCCTTCCCTGCGGCCCGGGGCCAAGCGTATGACTCTCCAAGTTTCAGGAAATTGGTATTTAGCAAGTTTTAATACCCTTTTGGCAAATCCTTTTTAAAAGAGCCTAGTGATTTGTACACATATTTTCCCCTCATTTGTAGAACTACTGTAGGCTATACTGTACGTAGCAGCATCGCAAACAGAAACGGGTCAGATCCACCCCCCCCCCCCGACCCGCTTAGGTAATCCTCTGGCCCACCCAACATTTCTAAGCTGGCGCTGGGCCCGGCTGACCTCAGCCTGCCAGTGTGGTAGGACCCACCGTCGGTTGGCACGGGGTTCAGCGGTCCCGGCTCCTCGGGGAACGTGGCGGCAGCGAGCCAGAGCAGGGCGAGCAGGAGGGTGACGGGAGGGGACGGTGTCGTCATGGCGATGTGTCAGCGGGCGCTGCGGGGGCACAGAGACAGGGCGGGATTAGCTGGAGCATGACGGCTAGTAACTGGACAGCTACCCTCACCCCCCGTTTGGGCATTACTACACAACACAGACACCCCTCCCCTCCCCTCCACACACCCGTCACACCTTTGCAGCCTGAATCCCGATTCACCTCATTCATGTCGGAAAAGCCAGAGAGACGCAGCACAGACCAGTGCTGCACTCAAGCTGACCCACATTATCCCAACCCCAGCCCTGACCTCTAAACCGGGCCTCCAGAGGCGAAACCAAAGATTCATGGGTGGGGCTGCACGTGGTGGCGGGGGGGGGGGAGCTGTGGGGTGAAAGAAAAGACGGAGAGAGGAAGTGGAGCTTTCGGCCGCTTGGACGTGTCGCCTCTCCGGTCTCATCGTTAGCTTCTGTAGGGGATGGTGGAGGACACGTGCAGCAGACAAAAAAACGCAGCCGGTCAGCTGGCTCGGATCCACCTGCAAGCAGCTGTGGACGTCCGCTAATCTGCCCGTGGCCGGGAGGAAGGCTTTGGGGCTCCGTAACACACATGTGCTGTAGAGGCCAAACCCTTTAACAGCTTGTATATTGGCAGGTGACGGTCGTATTACGGCTCACCGATTATTACTGCAGCCCTAAGACATCGAGTGTTGCGCGGTACCGCCTGAGTACGATTTAAATGCGTTTAATGCACAGCAGCGCCGGCTCTTCTGCTGCATGCTAATTGTCGCTCTGTTCGCTCCGGCTACATCGCAGCGGTCGGCCGTCACCGGCACCACGAGCAGAACACGCTGCCAGAAGTGGATGGCATTATTCTGGCTGCAAGTAGCCGAACGCACTCCTGTCAGAATGGGTACGGCGTGAAATGGGTGCAAATGGCTCCTGGGCCACCCATTGGGGGGAGGAGATTTCATTACCGGAATGTTCCCCGCGAACGTTGCTTTTCATTATGATGAGTCTACCGCCGCACCTTGTGGGAAGGAGTCTGTTACCCTCGTACATAATGTGTTTTTTTCCCCCCTTCTTGCTTATTTCTTGGGCTCCCGTCGGCCTGTCCCACCCACACAAGACAACGGCCAAATGTTCTGGTGATTCTGCGGCTTCTGAGAGGAAGAAAACAAATGTATAACTAAGTCTCCCCGCACCCCCCCAGCTCAGAGGGCTGGAAATAGTATCGACCCATCTGTGTGGATCCTCTGCGCCGGCTGCCCACGATGATGTCAGATGGAGGGCACACGAGAACCAATGACCTCGCGGCGACCCAGAGGAAGGCGGGGCTCGGGGAAGAAAAGACGAATGTGGCCAAAAAGGGGGGAAAAGGTGGGAGGACAATAAAGGAATACTGCCATCCATCTTCCATAACCGCTTATCCAGTGCCGGGTCACCATGAGCCTGGAGCCCAACCCAGGAAGTGCAGGGCAGGGATGGAATGCCAGTCCATTAAAGGACATGCACTTAATTAAAGACTAAGGGTAATTCACGGACACTAATTCACCTAACTGTGTGTTTTGGACTTGGAGTCCCAAAGGAATCCCAAAAAAACATGGTAGGACATGTAAACGCCATGAGCTCTGGAACTGAACACCACCCTTGAGATATGGAGGTACGGGGGGGGGGGGGGGATTTAACACCACACAAAAGAAACAAAAGAGGGACAGACGTGGAGGTGAAGGTCACAGGACGTTTCATAAATTGTGATGGTCACAATGTCTTTCCCAGGCTCCCCCCAGTGGACTCGACGTTCCACTAGAGGACTTGGTATTGCCCCTTATCAATAAAGACTCACCTCCCTGCTTGCCCTAATCTATTATTTAAGACCCTTGATTTGTACCGATCCACTAGCTACTCTGGATTTCATCCACGGCTAAATTTACATAGATCCCTAGAAACGTACAGTAATTACTGTGAACTGTTAAAGTGGTAACACGATAAATAAGGTAATTAAGCGGCTGTGTGAGAAGACTGAGGAGAAAGCGAACGTTACTGCTCGAAACGGCGACAAAGGCCAGTTCTGGTGATTTAAATAATAAAGCTCAAACTCAATCGATGACGCTTTTAGTCTCCTGCGATGGGTCAGTCTGTACAGCGTGGTGGTTCATGCAAAACGAAGTGCCTGTGCAGACTCTCGACATTTGAAAATTACAGACCGGCCTGAAATATGCACCCAAGTGATCAATTTTAAATAGTTTCCATGCATAAATCACTTAAATATAGGAGCTCTTTAAGCAACTTGCGGGGTTCTGAGTCATTTATGTTGCCCCAGCTAATATTTTTTTAAAGGGATCTCAAGCTTAGCACGTTCTGCACCATGAAATAGTGCCTGGATCACAGAGTTGTGACCTGGAGCGTGACCTCAGCCAAGGCATGAGAGGAAATAAGTGGAGCGTAGGGATGGGAAGAACCTTCAAAGTTGGCTCTCATTCAGACTAGGGGGGGAAGATGGGACCAGAGGCAGCCAACACTTTCATCTCCTGTGAAGATCAGACCCATTTTCTGTCTGCATGGGACAGTCGATCACCGTGCTGATTGCATGCGTGTTATTTTTGTTTGTTGTGGACGGGCGATGATGAGAAACTTTGACCTCCTTTGTAACGAAAGTCCATTTATTCAGCTGCAGGGCTGGCAAATAGCACTGAATCTGCTGCTCATGCTGAGGTCCTGCTCTTCTTGGAGGCCTCTGCTGAATGTGTCTGTGGGTTAAGTGCCAGGCTTGACAGCCAGTTAGGTTGGAAGCTCCTGGAGCAGCGCACAGGGCGTGCAACCCAAAAACTCCCAAAATCACCCAGCCCTGGAAAAGTGTAAAGAAAGCGCAGACTGCTGACATCCGTACAGCACCAAGGCGTACACCGGACCAGATTCTCCGAAGATCTCCAGCAGTCTTGTAGATACGGTGACCCTTTGTCGTTGCCACAAGGTCACATGACCGCACAGGGAAACCCAAGACTGGTCATTCAGACCTCAGCCGGTATGAGCTGCAGAGAGATGGGTGCATGGTCATGGAGAAGCAGCGCCGCTACTGGAAATAGCGGGGGAAGACAGGGGAAATGGGGGCTACTGGATGTCATCGGAGCCAACCCCTCATGGGGGGGCCAAAGAGGCATCGAGGGAGTGGAGTCACATGAGGGGGGTGGAGAGGGAGTCAGGCCACAGGTTCAAGTGCCTTATAAGACACCTAGTAGGACATTTCTCTCAACTACCATCCCTTGCAGCCCCCCCTCTACAAAACAGTTTATATTTAATGTTGTGACACTACAAACAGAACCCCACATTATGCCGGCAATCAATCAATAAGAGGCTCCCCAGTCTCCACTGTAGCTGCAGCCCCCCCCGTCTCCCTTTCATGTGGGGAGTCAATGGCAGAAATCGATGCTGGATTCAATTGAATGAGTCTGTTTCACCATACAAGTCGCAGTCGCCATATGCGAGAGGACGCTTTGGTTAAGAAACAACAGCGTGGCTGCCCTGTCCTCCGGGGGGGCATATGGGGGCGGAGCCACAGGGGTACTGGCTCAAGCTGAATGCTGATTGGCTCTCAGGGTGGCCCATCCCACATCATTCATTGATTGGAAACATATCATTGGTTAATGATGCCTGAATTAGCACCTTAAAATTCCTAAAAAATCCACCCCTGCTGTTCTGTACCACCTCCCCCACTTTCCATAACTGCATATCTAATACAGGGATATGATTATCCTGGAGCCAATCTCAGGCTGCACTGTGCAAACGGCAGGGACGCCTGATCAGTGACCCGCATCCAGTGAGCCCGCAGGTGTGAGACTCCAGTGCCGGGGAGTTACTGCGTCTCCAGCAGGGGTAACCGGCTCCCCAGGATCCTCACTGCAGCTGAACATCTGCGCAAACGCCGTCCTGCAGGCAGGAGATCACGCCTCGTGCATCTCCCCACCTGCGCAGACTCTGACCTGCCAGCGCAGATGTTTTCCCCGTATGTGCGCGTCCCCCCCCCCCTCCCCCCGCAGAGACAACCAGCGGGTGGTCGAGCCGCCCGTTCTGCACAGATTCACGTCTGCCTGCCCGTATCTGTTGGGGGGGATGGGGGGGGGGTTGCTGACTGATGTAAGCCTGAGATGGCCGTCTGCGAACGTGTTTCCCCATACAGAGAGCGATAAGTGCCCCCCCACCCTCACTCAGTGCCTGCTTCCACGCATTCTCAGGCCAGAGTAATGTCATCCCTTTTTCACTGTGCATTCGCACGATTACGCACAATTACACCATCCAGTCTCACACACACACACACACACACACACACACACACAGATCCACACATTACAGCCTCGGCTTTGCTCCCTGACAGGCCTTTGCTGCAGCGTTGTTGAGGAGCATGCTAATCAGGAAGGAGGCGTTGGCTGCTCAGAGACTCACTGCTCCCTCCTCCCCTCTCTCTCTTCCTCTCTCCCTTCCTCACTGCAACCCCCCCATCCCTCTCTCCCCAGTGCTGATCTTTCTGTTCTCTGCTGCGGAAGGCGGTGGGGGTGGGGGGGGGGCTCACAAACCATATCCGGCTTATCCCCCGATATCGATCCAACCCCTCCTCAGTTACACCCCCCCCAGGTGGCACCTGGGCTTTGACCCCCACACACATGCTGCCTCCCCAGCTTTCTGGCTGGCGTGCGGAAACAGGAGCGCCGCGCGCGCGGAATCAGCTCGGTCGTACACAAGCGCGGTTGCCATGGAGATGAAGGCCCTTGGTCTCAGTCAGTCTTAGCAGAGATGTAAATGTGCAGTGCAGCACCAATCATCTGCATGTACTGATGGGGGGGGGGCAGCAGGGCCAGATGAAAGAGACAGACTGAATGTAATGTGATGGATGCCGTCTCATTCCATCCAATCACTGACATCCAGCTCAAATGCCAGATGGAGTGTCCTATTCCCCTAATGGCACCTCTAATGTCGCTGCAATCTGTACGGCTGCCGATCTGTTTGACTCCAGACCCTAAGAGTCCACCCATCTTCCATAACAACATATCTGGCTTAAAGTCCCAGGA